GTTGTTGCGTTGTGCTGGTGATCTGTGATGGATGAGGTGGTGGAGACGATTTGGGGGAGGGGGAGGGGTCAATGGTGTTGGTAGGGAGGGGGGATGGGGTGTGTGTGTATGCTGTATCATGATGGTGAGGGAGGAGGAGGTGGAGGTGATTTTGGGAAGAGGTTGGGGAGGGGAGGGTGTCAATGGTGATGGGTGTTGGTGGTTGGGTGGGGTGTTGTGGTGGTGGTGAGGAAGGAGGTCGCGGAGGTCATTTCTAGGGAGGGGGTGGTGGTAGAAAGAAGTGGGGGGAGGGTGATGGTGGTTTGTGTGGGCCATTTCTTGTGTGTTTTTACGTGGAGAAAAGCACATCGACATAACAACAGGGAGGACAAAAGTAAGGCAGACTGACAGATAAACCGAAACAACAAACAGACGGAAAGAAAAGAAAGAAAACAAATGTAAAAATTAAAGAAACAAAACAAATGCATAAAAAATACACAACCACACACACACACACACTCACCAGCAGGTGCGGCTGAAGGTCGTTCATGCGTGACCTCTTGAGCCGCGTGCAGCAGAACCGAAGGTCAAGGTCGGCCGCCGTCAGCTGATGAACGGCCGTCACCGGCCCCGCCACGGCCGGCTGGGCCCCATCAAAAGTCAAGGCCATGAGGTAGGCGATGTGGGCGGAGAGTTCTGAGAGGCTGATCACCGACTGCGACATCTCCTGTACGCGCGAGCACAGGTGGCGCCACTGGATTTGCTGGCTGTGTACCTGGCCACAAATGACAGACAGACGGTTATCCTCACTGAGTTACACACAGACAAACACACACACACAGACAAACACACACAGACAGACAGACACACACACACACACTCACCCACCAACACACTCACCCACACACACCCACCAACACACACACACACACTCACCCACCCACACACACACACTCACCCACCCACCCACATACAAACACACACAAAGAGACACACACACACACACATACACCACACCCACTCCCACTCACCCACATACACACACACACCCACAGACACTCTCACCCACACACACATCCACACCTACACACAAACATTCACCCACACACACACACACACACACAAACACCCCCCCCCCACACACACACACATTTCCACACACACAAAAACACACACACACACACACACACACACACTCACCCACACACACACACAGCAACAACAAAACACCACCAACCTGCGAGGCCACATCCCGCGTCAGCAACAGGACTTTGTTCAGCTGAGCGATGACCTTGTCTCGGAACTGGACGTACGCCTCCGCCGTCGTCTGAAGGTCACCCGGCCGGCTGAACACGGGCTTCGGGGAGCAGGAGAGGAGAAGGAGTTCGGCGACCGCCTGGATGCGCGTCCGAGACTCGTCCAGAGCCAGAACCACTCCGCGTCCATTGTCGCTGGTCATTTCAATCAGCGGTCAGACGAGAATCCCGCAGGCTCCTGCCAGACCGGGGGGGGACCAAACGAAAAGAGGCTGGGCCCTGTTTTTAACTCCTTGGTAAAAAAAACGTTCTTGGAATCGACATAACGGCCTTGAACATCTTGCTTTCACTGGGGAAAAATAAAACAAGGTGAAAGAAGCTGAGGTAGACTGGTTATTTTTTTGTTCGCATGTTCGTTTGTACGAGTAAAGAGAAGCATATTGACACAATAACGGTCATTTAGTGCAGGGAAGGAGCAAGATAGAAAGACAGAAACAACAGAGGGAAAGTAAAGAAGTAGGACCTACCAGTGACACCATCCAACCACCCATACAGACAGAAACAACAGAGGGAAAGTAAAGAAGTAGGACCTACCCACCAGTGGTACCCTTCAACCACCCACACAGATACAAACAATAGAGGGAAAGGAAAGAAGTAGGACCTAACAGAGGCGCACTCCAACAACACGCAAGTATTATATCTATTTGATATTTGCTACTTGAATCACACGGCAAAAAAACTGCATATTTATTAAATACTTTTTTAAATTGCCTCTTTTTACAAAAGATCACAACAAGAATATTTTACATGGGCCACGGGAGGCCCACCAGTAGTGTGCTGACATTGAGATCACTGATTATCTCTTCGACGGCTGCTACTCTTGAATCACACAGCAGAAATCTGCATTACTACTTTTTTTATTCTCTATTTACAAATGGCCACAACAGTAGTTTCTTAAGGGTTACGAGAGCCCCAACAGATGCGCGGCTACATCACATATTATCTAGTCTCTTTGTTTGTTTGAGTGTAAAGAGAAGCACATCGAAACGATAAAAATCATTTAGTGCTGGGAAAAGAAGCTAAAGAGACACGTTTTGAGCCCATGTATGAATCTTCCACAATCTGAAAATACATTTTATAAAATGTAAAATATTCCCATCCATATTTAAAAGTAGCTCTATCTTAGACTATGAATGTTATGGTGTCAGATTCTAAACTAGTGTGTATACACGCACAAATCTAAGTCACTTTTTATCCTAAATTATTTCATTTTTACAACCATAATTGGCGCAAAATTATACTACTGTCTTAATTGTTAGCTTGTGTCGTTGGGTTCCTTAGCCTATTAATAATAATAAAGCGTTATTTCACTCATTGCCCCTCTCCCTTTTCCTGTCAAGTATTTATTGCTTTCCTTTCTCTGACCGAAATCACTGCCCATATTCAGGTGGTAACTCATCATTGTGTTGTAAACGCACCAATTAAAATTCGAAGAATGAAAGGCTGGCTCAACATTACACAAAGGCGATCGGACAGTCCCAGAGAAAGGCGCAAAATCTGCCAAGCAAATTCAGATGCCCACCTGATAGATGGTCAGGGAAACAAAAGCACCAATGAAATCAAAGTTCGATGGGATCCCATCTCTTGTGACCTTTGTGGCTCTGCCTACCGAATCAAACTTTGTAGTAGTTCGATGTTCGGAGAAATCTTGGGTGTGATCCTTTCATTGTAAGGCCCCTGCGCCAGAGGTGAACATTGTACCACTCGTCGAGAAATTTAGAACGGAGTGTAGATGATCTGTGAAGTTTTCTTTGTTTCGTAAAACATTATCTAAAACAGAACTTCAGACTCGAGAGTGGGATCTTAGGGGTGACTTTTGTGTAGTAAAAGTTATTGTTTTTTCGGGGTTGCTTCTTTTTTTTCCTTTTAAACAACGGAATCTTAAGTGAACTGGGATCATAAATGTTGGGATCTCAGGAGGAGACTACTAACTATGATATTAAACTGGGCACAGTATTAGAGGAGACTCAAACTCTGTCCACCCCTCCCCCCCCCTTCCTTCCTTCAACTTTCTTTTTAACAAAGAAGTTATTCACTGTAGTTGTTAAGTAGGTATTGAATTTGTTAAAAATATGGAGCCGCTATAACATATATATTCATTTAGACATCAGTAATGGTAATGAGATAAATGGGTTTTAAAACATAAAATAAGTCTTCTGACTTGCCTAATCTCAAGGACCTCAGAATAAAACCCTCTTTCCAATCTAGATCTCAGGGATAGAGTCGGGCAGCGACCAGCGCAGGTTGACCATGGTTCCGCTGCGAGAGAGGGTTCCTGTCAGGCGTGCGTTGCCGCCCGCATAGCAGCCTCCATTACTGTATAACCTCCCTGTTGCAGATACGCTCTGCCTATTTCATGATAAAAATTGACCTTGGACCTTGATCTAGAAATGGGTAACATCTTGTTGCAAAGGATTTCTTTATTTTTGTTCTTTAATTGTAAAAAAATTGGGATGGAAATTTGTTTTCATCTAAAAAAAACAACAAGACTTCATTCTGTAGTTTGAGCACAGCAAGATTGGTATACATTAGTGGGAAGGACTTCGGTACTGAGCAAACACCCCAACAAACAAAATAAACCCTACCCCTATCCCAAACCCTAGCCTCTATTCTTCACCCTTTATTTCATAGTGGTTGCTCCAAACGAAATTACCCCCCATTAGAATCATTACTAGATCTAGATTCTAGACCTAGGACTGTTCATTTTTAAAAGTAAATTAAAGTTCCAGTCGGTATCACTCACTCTAAGTAGGAGTTCATTCAATTGCCAATTCGATATTTTAAAATTTTATATCCATGCACATTTTGAAGACACAGAGAGACAATAACCAGATCAAATCATCATAGTCATAGAATCTAGATCTAGATTTAGTTAATAGCAGTAGTAGTGTCCTCAGCCTCAGGCTCTCATGTCATGTAATTTATATATATATGATGGTTTACCTTGCCTCTTTGCTGTGAGAGGGAATAAGAGCCTGACTGAAAAAAAATCAACAGCCAAGAACTTGAAGAAGGGGGAGGGCAGCCGGGAAAGAGTAGGAAAGAGGAATCAGTTTCAATTTTGACTCAGGGCAGCAACGGGTTGGTTTTCAATTTTAAGTAGCCTACCTAATTAGGTAGATAAGTAGCAGAACGACATCTAATAAATTGAAGATTTTTCAAGTCAAGTAGCCGAAACATCTTTCTTCCTATTCTTTCTTACCACGAACAATTCCCTTTCGCAAGATCTAAACCGCTAAAATAAAGCAACTGTAATATTATAAGCTCTGTTCCAAGAAGCAAAAGAGGAAGCATCATCGCACGTCTGCACTGGGTGGGGCATCTTTGTCCTCCTTGAGCCTTGAGGGAACGGTTTCCGATCAGCTGTTAGCCCTCGAAATTATGAGCTACTTCCCACTACAGCCACTAATATTATGTACGTCGGTTACTTTGTGCTGGTCCAAAGTGGAAGTTATTATGACATCTCTGTACTGATTCAAAGTATGAATCTTTGCTGCTGGCACATATCAACGGTACAAAACTGTCACTTGCACATTATTGTGGTTCTTTTTTTCCGAATAAATAGTAACGTATCATCTTCGATCTACTATGAATATTTTTATTTTCTGGTTAAAAAAGAACAATGTTATCAGCGAACTATGACTACGAAAGGATAAAGAGATGTGTTTGCAGATCTAAAGTAGACCTTAATTTAATTAATAATTAGGCATATAGGCATAGGCCTAACGAGAGCTCACCGAAAAGGAGACGTTTAGTATAGTCAAAGGATGTGCTGATGTGCCCCCAGACAGAAATACGTGAATTGGTTAAAGAAGATGCAGCTGGGGTTTGTTTGCCAGTTTCAAGACACACAAATACATTGTACACGTATTTAACGTAGGCTTACAGGGGAGTCCGCTTAAACCGAAATTTGCATGACCGCCCGATTTTCTTTGGTTTCGCCATGTTTTCAGTTTAGAGGGGTTGCTGAAATTAATTATAGAAGAAAACAAAACACATACCCCCCCCAAAAAAAAAACAACAAAAAACCCAACCAAAACCAACAACCCCCCCCCCCCCCCCCCAAACAAACTCAAAAAGCAAAAGAAGAGAAAACAATACATCGAGGATCTTTAATTTTCTTTCTACTGCTATTTCCGCATCAACTGTGTTCGGTTTTAAGTGTAATCATTGACATCATACCAAGGACCTAACAACCTAGTGAGCCTACTGTATACCCTCCTTGCATCATACACATTATTACTATATAATATTATATTTTGAAGTGCATGGCGTTTTTGTCAGAAGGAAAATGCAACACAAACAGATTATAGGTCATTGTTATTGATAAAAACAGATTCTTTTATTTATTCCCATCAGTTTGGTATATGACAATACATATTAGAGTAATTTAGAGCTTCACAGTAATACATTAAGTAGATGCACCCCAGGTCTAAAACTGAACGGGGAATATATAATTCTGTCCAGAGCCTGAAAAAATCATGGACGGAATCAGTTAAAACAGCCTATAATACAGTGTACAATATACTGTTTCTCAGAATTACATTATACATGTACATGTATATGCCTTTGTGCCAAGCCTGATTTTTTAATTTCAATTTTGAGTGACCATTGGTATCTTTGGCGTCTCTAAACATAGTGAAATATTAATGTGCCATATGAAGCAGAATTTATTAAGCTTTAATAAATTGGTATGCTACTTGAGTGGGTATTGCAAGGCTTTAACCCAAATGATTGGGTGATTACATCCTTATTATTCTCAATGTAAGCGAAATACGTGTATACCACATGGCTTATGTTAGTGCTACAATCGCTGTGTGGAGGTATTACGTGTATTTTTAAATATGTGTGTTATGCATTTCTCTCTCTCTCTCTCTCTCTCTCTCTCTCTCTCTCTCTCTCTCTCTCTCTCTCTCACACACACTCTCTCTCTCTCACTCACTCTCTCTCTCACTCACTCTCTCTCTCTTCTATATTATGTGTGGAACATTTATTTCTCTTTCATTTTGAGATTCTATGGCCACATAAATACACGTACATTAAAGGGACGTGAGAGAAACTGCATCTGTGTGGAAGCAGGACAGAGGGAAATAAGAGCAGCTAGGAAGACAGAGAACAACATGCACAGATGACCTGAACAACTTTAGGACAACGAACACAATGAAAAAAAAACGAGCTGATCAGGAAGACTGACAAAAGGAGTGGAGTGCAAATAGGTCGTAGTCGTCAGTCTGCGCCAGACCTGACATCTGAAGTGAAAAAGAAGAAAATACGAAATTAGTAGGATAGGAGTAGCCTACTGGTACCGCTCTTCTGTGCAGGAAATATTAGGGGCCTCTGCACTGACAACTGAGTAAAGCCGGTGGTTTCATTGGTCAATAAAAAACTACACGCGGGGTTTTCCGCAACATTTTAACTTCCGTTGTAAACAACATTCACAACAACAAGCTCGACCAGAATCCTGCGAGCACAACACAACTTTGGTTGGACTCTGTAGAGCCGCCGAGTACTGAGTTGAGTTGGCGTTGTGATAGATCTAGATCTAGAGATGTGAACGTGTTCGTTGGTTGCAAATGCAGTGTTCATTTCTCTAGGTCTGAGGTTATTCCCAGGGCCTGGAGCCTGGAACTGGAGTGGAGTGTTATCAGAACTTGTTTTTCGTCCTAGTAACCTCTATTAGGCTGTGGACCATGTGGTGATTATATAATAAATATTATATTAAGCTAAGCTGGTTGAAAATGCCACGGGTTGGGAAATCGAAAAGAACATTTGCATTAGCGAAAGCTAGACAACAAAAACGTTTAAATCAAATTCAAAGGAAACTTAATGGAGGCGGAGGCCCTGGAATAAACGAAAAAGACAATGGCAATGGATGTTCACCCACCAACGACATTGCAAATGGTAAGAAAAAAAAAGGCCGTCTTTATTTGGACTCGAGTCCGAATAACATTTTTTCATATTCGGACTCGTGTCTGAATTAAAAAATTTCCGAATGAATCCGAATAACGAATATGGAAAAATGTTATTCGGACTCGAGTCCGGAAAAAAGAACTTAGAAAGTGTCTTCGTTCTATAGATCTAACGTTCAGTGCTTCCAATTTTCCGCCATTTTTTAGTTTCCCCACACCTTATCTGCCGATCCGATGCCCACCGCCCCCCCTATGTTTTCCACTTTCTTTGTTGTAGTAAAAAGGTAAAATTGAAGATTAGCAGACCACCTGGCACCTGCATTATGAGCTGTGTAAGTGTAAAAAAAAAAAAGACTGATTCGTTCAAATACACACAGGCCTGTGTCATCTCGATTGTTTGCCAAGAAAAAGTTGTGTTGCTGTGTAGAGCCGAGCATACGGCAACTTTTGATTCCATAGACGATCACACAATTCATTACATAGATCTACGTCAAGACTAGCTTATTATTGTAATAATGATCAGTTGCCGGGGAAAAAAAGACTGACGCATATGCGACGTTCAACGCCCAGACCGATAGTGGCCCCCCCTCCCTGACACGCACACACAGCCACACGTGTGCAGGCCGCCCATCCGACCCCGACACACGCTAACGAGCCATCTTTAATTGCTTCTGATGACCTCTTGACAAATAAACATTTATTAGAAGCGCTATAACTTTTCAGGCCGGCCTCAAATTCATCATAAGATAAAAACTCGGCTCCTGCACAAAACACCATTTTGCCCGAAGTGATCCCGGTCTCTACCCAGCCTGAGGCGAGTCATGAGTGAGGCAGGACAGGAAGCACGAGTCACAGGAAGTCGGAAGTGATGTCATGCTGGACAAGAATCAAGAGTCCGAATAACATTTTTTCATATTCGGACTCGAGTCCGAAAAGTCACTTCGGGGAAAAAAAACAACCCTGTAGACTGTAGAATCTAGTACTGTAGTCTCCGCCTAAGATCCCGGTGCTCGGGACGACAATCCCAGGGAAGAATCTATGGGGACCCATGTTAAGGCTTACAATCGGTAAAATGGTCTCCCTCCACCCTAAAATGAACTGACGTGACCCCTTGGTGGGTTTATGACATATTATGGCGAGCAAAGAGTGGTTAAAACCTTGATGGCCTATCACAGTGCATAGTATAGTGCCATGAGGCGTGCCATTTTCACTTATTATCCTATCATGAGTCTCAAGGTCTACGCTTATTCAGTTGCCCCTCACCTTTACTTCTTGTCAAAAATTTATAGCTTTCAATCTCTGACAGAGTTCCCTCCCCCCCTCCCCAAACGCCCTTGTCGTTACACACCATTACGTCGTGAACACACCTATTAAAATTCAGTCCCCTGTCTAGCAAATTCGGGCGTAGAGACAACTGCTTTGCAGCACAATCAACGCCTACTGCAATGGTCAGGGAAGAGTTCACGGTTCGATGTGATCCCCCCTGGAACGAACGTGTCGGCTCTATCCACCCAGCGAGTGATGTAAGTTTAGGGGGAGAGCTCAGGTGTGAGTGCGATGCGTGGGGGAAAACAAACGCATCGGTTAGTTCACACCCCGGTGTGATCCCGTCGGGGGGAAACATTGTATCGCTTCATCCAGTTTTACGTGTATACATGTGATCACATTCACGATAGTGGCTGATCTTTGACGCGACAGACAGTTTATTGATCTCAACTTTTCACTCTTGTTTGATTGGCTGTGCCCGCCCGGTTTTTTGTTCCGCGAATTATGATCTGAAATGCGGGATCTTAGCCGAATGTAGACCTTCAGAGTGAATCAGAGCGGGATCTTAGGGGTGACTTTTGTATAGTAAAAATTCTGTTATCTTAAAACAGCGGGATCTTAATTAAGCGAACCGGGATCGTAAGCGGTGGGATCTTAGGCGGAGACTACTTTAAATAATAATAATAATAATAAGAGAACCTGCGTGTGTTCGCGTTGCATGATATGATACAGTATCCTGTAAATAGGCCTACCGGCGGTCGAGTTGTTGGGGTCACCAAAATTCTTTCAAAATCTTAACATTTGGGAGTATAGGACTCAGGGGGAGGGGGGGGGGGAAGAATTATATTATTGATTTTTTAGTATGATACTCTCGGGGTGCAGAAGGCAACACCAGAGGACAAAGACTTGAAAGAAGATTTTAGAATTTTGATCAGAGCTCTCTGCAAAGCACATGTTAGTGCAGGTCGTGTGTGGAATCAGGATCCGTCATAGAATGTAACAAAAGTGTCCGCGTTTCATTGGATGGGTGATAGTAAATTATGACTATATTTTAGCTTTCTGTTAAAGATTGGCAGATTTTCAGTGTCACTAGCGCTGCATCTTGCCCTCTCTCAGTTCTTACAGCTCTTACACTGAATAGGTCTTTTTGAGCCCCTCACGTTTTTACTCTACTTTGAGTTTGAGCCATAATTTTTGCCTTTCGCGTTTATAAAATGAATCATGACAGCAATGTAGGCTACGCACTTCTTGTGTGTGTGTGTGTTACTCTCTTGTAACACGTCTGATGCAAGAGTTTGTGCTGTCATTGTTATTATGTAACATGCCCCTGGAAAATTGAGAAGCCGGTCTGGCAGTCACCTTGTCTACATTTTGTTCTTGAAAGTGAAACAATCGTGTGATAGTCCTAACGAGAATGAGGAGAAAAAGAAGAAGAGTTTCGCTGTGTACTTCTACTTTTCTTTTTTTCTACAGCATATTATAATGACCCAGTGTTGTGTTATTCTGCGTGGGGTGCAAATGTTTTGTTTGCCGCTATGAAAAACAGTCCCTGAGAGGAGGGTCAATGTCCCTGAAAATGCTTGACTAGGTCCCTGAGACCCAAATTGACAGGAAGGCAGGTCTGCATCCTTGATCAAACGGGACCCATAGCGCAGAAAGAAAATGATATAAAATAAAAATCTGGGGGGTTACAGGGAGGCAAGCCTCCCCCCCCCCCCCCCTGTTTTAACCCATTATAATTGATGTCTTGCAGTTAGGTTTGAAATTTTCTTTGAAATAACTGATTTGCGACAGTTTTAGTCGCTATATCATATAATACATGTACGTTCTGCAGCAAAAAATACTGTAGTTTGACCCCCAAAGCAGTGCATATCTGTGTGCGGGAGTGAAAATAACAATTTACTGTGTGTTCAGAATAAAAAATATGGCAGTTTAGTTCTCAAAACAGCGATCGATTTTGAGATATTTAATAGTTTTTAAACCGAAGTATATCACACTAAGCCTAATTGCGCAGTAATTTCCACGCATTGAACCAGTTGGGGGTTTCAGGGGGAGGGGGGG